AACTTAAAAGTCAATTTGAAAACCCCATTTTTAAGCATCTACAAGTCTGCAATATCAGATTTGTGGCTGATACATAATATGTTGCCAATAAAAGTCGACAAAGTGAGCAACTGCAATGTGCCTTGCTGTATGATAGTAACACATCAGAAATTATGAATGCTTTCAAAGTCAAAAGTCTGCAAATGATGCCACTGCTGGCTTGTAGCCTCTGTTTACAAACCTACAATCAACATATTCACTGGATTCGTATAATGGTAAATGCTGAACCACAAACCGCTGATGATATTATTATGGACGATGCTCATATCATTGGAAATCAAACGATTGGTGCAGTTTCAGATGCTGTTTCATCACACAGAAAGTCTTGCTACAGAGTCTGAATCCAATAGCAGTGAATCTGCAGTTTGACCAACACAGTCAATAATTATCGTTTCAAACTCGAATCAAGTGATGATGTTGCTGTTTCAGATGCACTCAATGTCATCAATGCAGTAACATTGAAACCAACTCAAATCATTGATAATGAACCAATTTACCGTGTCTTGATAAAAACACTGATAAACCATCATTCATACATGAGTTTGTCAAAAGTATGAACTGATTGCTGACCAGATGTTTAAAGTGGAACTCAAAACAGTGCAACTCAATGTGCAGCTTTCCAACGACTTTCCCACTACAAAAAATACAGTCTTGGAACTCAAAGTTTACATCAACAATACTTGTGTGTATTGACCATCAATGATGTTGTTGGTGTAGCATACACAGTGTGCATTGCATAAACGCTTGTTTGTTTGCTGGAGCTATTTCAAGCAAGCAAAAATACTAAAAGGTTCAGTTTGATGAATGTCTGGTGTAGATTTACAATGAATTCAAACTCGAGAGATTGTTGTATTTTGCATACAAGACATACTACAATATATTACAACAATATCGTGTATTTCAATATGCACCCATTCGATTTACAACAGTGGCATAAACATCATCACATTTAAACAATGGTTCAGTCGTACAAAGTCCAATAACAGCCATGAATTGTATCAGACATGAACATACTGGTGCAAAATTCACATCAAATAACACACCACAACAAACATGTTTCTGGTAGATGGTGGAATTGATGTCATTGATTTTCAAGTACACGATATTGATGTTGAATGATTCAATAAACTATACTCGTCGACTTTGTGTACTTTTTTCAGTTGCACCGTTTCTGATTCCGAGTTTAAAGCATAATAGTTGCGACAGCGCTGTTGTCCAATTTGCTTGTTTTGTGAATAGTAATCATGATACCACTTGTTTGACGCTTCCTGTTGTTGAACTGGATATGGATGTCAAATTTGGATGCCAAATTTTGATGCATTGCAAGTAATTGTTGTAGTTTTTGATCGAGTCAATGAATGGCATTTATAGTTGCTCTAGAAAACAAGTTGTTTGAAATGTCCTGTCATATGTCATATGTTTTGTTGTTTTCATGTTCACTAATTGTTGATAATGCATCCAATTGATTTCTGTTCTGACGCTGCTTATTTGTCATTGTTGGATCTGGGTTTCTATATTCAGTAACAAACGTTTCAGCAATTTGGATGTGTTCAAATTCATAATACTTGCAAGTCTGAATTATTTGATCATCATCTGAAATTGGATACGAGTAATCATTTACACTAACCACTGACCACAGTATACATAGTATACACAGCATTACTGTATATTGACTTGTATTTTACTCAAAGGTTTGTCCATTCAGTATTCCAACACAATTTCCAACATTGATTGAATGGTTTGCAGTGTTTGTTTTAATTGAACCACTTGATGGATCACTTTCATATCTTGATTCAGCAATATCACCAACTGCACAATGATGGATGTGATTGTAGTCAAACACAATATATTGCAAGACATTAACGTATTGGTTAGTTTTAGTATATTATTGATAAAAGGCAATGATGTTTTGTAATGGGGTGTTAAATCCTTCAATCAAACATTGTCTGTTGTGATTTCCAACAGTGACAGTGACATGGCAAACACCTTTTGCTTGTGACAGACTTTGAACAAGTGTATTGCTCCGTTTGTTGTACAATGCACGACATGATCAGTTGATGGTATCATGCAACTGACAAGTGATTGCAGGTCCAACTGATAGTTACAATCAACACTGGTTGTTATCATGTCATTGATGTATATGGAACAAACCATGTCAATGTATCAATCAACAATCCAGTAACTGTTGATGTAATATCCAACGCAGTATACAATCAATGATATGATTGTTGATCCATTCACAATACTCGACAAATACCAACATCAGAAAGTTTAAATTTATTCAAAATCAAATTCATTGACACATCATCAATCCGAACCCGGTTCTTCAAATTCTAAACCATGCCTTTTCATAAACCTTTTCAATTCTTGTCTGATAATGTATACTTTTGCGCTTACATCCCTATACTCTTGTTCCAATTGGTCTTCAACCTTTGGATCGTACTTGAATTCAGATATATCTTCCCCTCTTGCTAACGCTGACCATTTCTCCAATCCAAGAGCTATATATTCACTATAAGCTTTCCATTTGTTGTCTCGTATTATTTTAAACAATTTGAGCCTTTGTTTTATACGATTAAAGGTTCTTTGATTCCGTTCACTTAATCCAGCTACTTGATTTGAACTAGTATTAGCAGACTCGCCTTGTCCAATTGGTTGTTGTTGGTCTTGACTGGGAATATTTGGATTAATTATATCAAATAGTGGTTTCCAGTATTCGTCAGAAGTACTTGGATTGGGTTCATTAGTTGAACCAGGCGCTTGACTGGAAGTACTTGGACTGATTTCATTGATTGGCCGTTTCCGACTTCGTTTGGAAGTACTTGGACTGGACTGATCAATTCGTCGTTTCCGACTTTGTTTGGGAGTGCTCGGACTGGGCTGATCAATCGGTTGTTGCTGATATTTGTTGGAAATATTTAAATCAGTTGCATCTATTGGGTGTTGCTGGGTTTGATTGGGAATACTTGAACTGGTTTTATCAGCTGGTTGTTGTTGGTATTTGTCAAAAGTGTTTGAATCGACTTGATCAATTGGGTCAGAAACTTGACTGGAAGTGCTTGAACTGGGTTGATTCACTATATTTTGCCAGTCTTCATTGTAAGTACTTGGATCAATTGGATCTAATATGTTTCGCCAGTTTTCGTCGAAAATGCTTGAATCAAGTTCATCCATTATGTCTTGCCAGTTTTGGTCGGGAATCTCTAGAATAAGCTCATTAGTCGGGCTAGATACTTGACTAGAAGTACTTGAACTGGGTTGATTCAGTATATTTTGCCAGTCTTCATTGGATGTGCTTGGATCAGTCGGGTCAAATATGATTTGCCAGTCTTCGTCGAAAATGCTTGAATTAACTGCATCCACTATACTTTGCAAGTCGTTGGAAGTGCCTGGATTAGGTTCATCAGTTGGGACAGACACTTGACTGGAAGTGACTGATGTTTGGAGTGAACCATTATTATCAGTCGGGATCAGTATTGCATTAGCGGTTGCTGCTGCAGTCAATACGAATAAAATATCAACCAATTTCATCAGATTGGTCAATGGGCTCAAACTATTAATACAAAGTAGAGTGTCGAGACTGGTGTCGATTATAAAACTGGACACACTCGATTGTATTTGTATGTTTTGTATAGCAAACCAACCCTAACCCTTATAGGTTAACCAATATACAGGGTTACTTGATTGCTTGTAGTGGGTTACTATCAAACCATAGTATGCTGTTCCCTATCCACAATATCATATTGATCAATTTGATGATCGTGTCGATTGAATTATGCTTTTACGACCCTTTTATCAGGTATATTGAAAAGCGCATCCTTCAAGGGTGTTGTGTAACCGCAAACGCTTTGTTTTACAACCATATTCATGTCAAATGGATCACTTTAATATTCATTGTGCAATGACTGTATATTGCAATATACAATGGTTACTACACATTGACTGCAATTGCGTGTTTGATATACAACAACTATCATATGACACAATCAGACTATAATGTTGAATCTACATTATGTGCACTATTAGTAATTATACAGTGTACGATCAACAAGTTTGAACCCATATTCATGTATTGTGTTTGACTGTCAATGTTGTCAATACAACTCTGTACACACATTTGTTGTATTCTGAATCACGGATACGATCGCAATCTAGTTCAACAACAATCATGGCACATGTCAGTAATGCAACTGTTTATTACACAGCAACACTGTTATTTGGTGGTCCATTTACATCAATATGGCTGCAAGTTGTCGTTACATCACGTATTCTGGACATGGTTTTGATATTGCACATCCAGTTCCATCACATTGTTGTTGACTCATCATTGTAATGCTGTATGTCACCATAATCATGAACATGAACATGATCCTGTGGTTTCACGTATAATATTACAACCACGCATGTCATTGGTTGAATCATCACTACTAGTGTATACTACACTACACTACATGTATGTTGACATGTGTTGTACCAATTTGATTGCATTGCTACAATGTGGCATGCTCCAACCTGTTTGAATGACTGTTGTGCAACATATTGGTATTGACCACATGTGATACTGGTCACCAACAAAGTGATCAGCAATATACAATTGATTATGCAATCACTGACTGCCAATACTTCAATTATGAATATTATCCACTATTTCATGACACTATCTGATACATTCAGTGCACAGTAGCTGATTGGTGCAATATGATCAATTCAAGCATACTATTACATTGGAAATGGTGGTGACAATGCAAGGTGTTTATTGGACAAACAAGATTGAATGCTTACATGACAAATGCAAATTGACAGTATAGACCATACAATACACACTGCAGTACAACATACTCTAAACGAGGTTGTTGATAGCGTGATTCCAGTTTTACAATGAAATTGAATTACCAAACAGTCGAGTGTCCAAACATTGATTTACTATACACTTTTAGTTATGGTGGTTTGCGTAGAAATGTTCAAGTATGCCTTCTATATCCAATGAACCTCAGCATCTGTCGTTTGAATCTATTAAACTTTGAACGTAATGAAGGAAGTTGAATATCATATTCTTGCAGTACACTAGATTCACTTGAATATCTAGCAATTTTAGTCGTTGGTACAAAGTGCACTTTAGCTTCCCTTGAACCAGCATCGTGACTTGACTTTTGCTGATGTTTTTTAGAATGATCGTGTTTTGAGCCGTGGGGTTTAAAAGTAGATCCGGGTTTCAAGATGGATTTTAATTCTGGAGTAGGTTCAGATACAACTCTGATTGATTCTTCTTTGAGAGGTTCAAGAGCCAACTTGCGACACACCCATAATCTTCCTAGTCTCAGTTTCCTGAATTTCTTTTTATCAGATGAGCTCATTCTACGCTCCTTTTGTTTAACTTCTAGTATTCTTTCCTTTGTCTTGGCGTTCATTTTGTGCGGATATCCGTCTCCAACATCAGTTGGAATTTCCATACCCATATTCTTCATTATTTTTTCGACTCTATCCAGCCTTTGCTGAGGTGTGAGAATGGGCCGTTCATTCTCTGGGATATAGTTTTTAGGGAGATGGCAGACGTCGTCATATAGTGTGTTGTCAAATATATCATCATCTGACTGTTTGGACTCAGAGTATGACGATGATTCATCGGACTCTTCAACAGAGCTGTCTGAATCATCAGGATCTATAGTCGACTGAGCTACATCATGATTGGTTCCAGTTGATTGTTGCTCTGTTCCAGTTGAAGCGCAAATACCAGTGTGTTGCTGCATGTGTGTTGAACATTCTTTTACAGATTCTGATTCGCTGGCAGACGGACGATCAATGACTACTGCACTGACTGTTATCGACAATAGCAACAACACAATAGTCGATATGAATTTCATCCTGTCGACGAGAATGAATGTGATAAAGCTTGTCAATTAGTAGGACAATTCTTGGTAATAAATGAGCCAGTTGTGGATATGAACCATACCTTCATAGCGATTAAATATATGATCAAGACATACGGGTTATATGAGCTTATGCAGCAACAACTCGACCGCCATTTAGGTATATGTAGCATAGATACTCATGTGTAAACTCTTTTATGCACAACTCTTCAGCCATTGAATGAAACAGGACTCATAGTCAAGGACTGGTGACCCTGACCCATATACTAGAGAATATGTCAAGATCGATTGGCATAATCATTCAGTTTCAAGTTACGGTCAGTATAGGGTAACAGTTTATCCACACAACAGCTGGTCAAATATTAGTGGTAAAATCCTTCAAACGGCTCTGCTTCAACACTTGATCTAGTGATATGATACTGTGTTGCAGTCCTGTTCAATGCAGTATGGATTGATGGTCATATCAGCAATATCAATACTTTATGCCAACTGTAATACCTTGAATACGCCAACTCAAAGTATTGCCAATGATTAGAAAAGCTTCAACAGAACTCTTGAACTGTCAATTGTCATGCTATCAATAGTATGAACATCCGACTCAATACTGTACATGACTGGTTGTCAAGAGTCTTGCAGCGTTTACTTGACAAACTGGATTCCTGTTTCGATTATACAAACATGGCATCAAACACATGTCTACTTTGGAACAAGACGTTGAGTTGAATGTCCAGCAATATACAAAAATATACAAAACAGCACGAATTGAATGTCAAAACTCGATTACTAACAATTTCAAATCTACACAAACGAATACGACAACTTGCAGTCTAGTCATATAAACGGAACACTAACAGTGTCAGTGTGTAATAAACAGTCAGTGTCATGGACTGGTTGACAATACAGTGGTGTTGGTGGCGATTGACATACATGGTTGCATTACTGACATGTGCCATGATTGTTGTTGAATTAGATTGCGATCGTATCCGAGATTCAGAATACAACAAATGTGTGTACAGAGTTGTATTGACAATATTGGCAGTCCAACACAATACATGAATGTGGGTTCAAACTTGGTGACCATACAATGTATGACTACCAAATGTGTCGAGTATCCATGCAGAATACTAAATGGTAATATGTGATGATCCAAGGGACTCGTATCACCAATGTTTGTGTGCCATAATTCCACTATTTGACTTGGTAAACAATAGGAATTACACCTATTGATCAATTTACTTTTCTGATTGCTCATCATACATTCTACTTGTTTGTGTCACCAAGATACAAACAATCAATTACTACAAGACTGACTATAACTCATATTTATTAATAAATGACTCTTCCAACCATTTCAACATATTATTGTTTTATTACATCTTTTCATTATCATTGAAAAAACCAAATCTGCTGATCCTGAATTATTGTGCAACTCCCATTACACTTTTGATTTGTTATTTTCTGTCAACTACTAACAGTTACAGATCATACACACACTTCTCCATTTAAACTAATATAAATCAGATTACACAAAACTCCAACAGAGTTGTTGGTTGTTGATGAGCAAGTTGGATATAAAGTTGTTTTCAATCAATCCGTTGGTAATCATGATATCATACTTTGATTTGTATGTACGCAATACTACTGTCATCTTGTGTATGGTGTTTTGTATTCCTACAAACGCATTCCATTTCCAGCTGTTTTCTTTGCAGACATTTGATGCTGTGTAACAATGAGGGTGTAAAATGTAGTACAGAAATAGACGACTAAATTATATTTATTCCAACGGATTTAGCACTCTTGTTCAAGTAAAACGATATCATCCGATGCTCACTATACACTACTTGTACGTTGAATCGTGCCAATCACTTGCTATTTTAACAAACATGGAATATCACAACACATATTGATGACCAACTAATATCCGAGTGTCAACTCATTCCAGTTTTGGTTTATACTCATTTTTTAACCCTAACCCTTGGCCATAACCCTTTTCAGGGTGAAGCTTTTAATCAACCATATGATATTTGAGCGTATGATCAAATAGCGGCTCAACCAAGGTTGCAGACCACCATATAAAGGGAGATCCCTTCAAAGTTTGGCATTGACAACAAATCAACATTCAACCCTGACAACAACACAAGCCCTTAGGACGGTTATTCAAGGGATATGCTTTTAATACCATTTATTCAGTAATGGATATAAACATGGTTCAAAAACCGACCTGTTGGATGACATTACAACTTGCTCAACCAAACCAGTAGAATGAGACTCGCAGTTGCTGTATTGTCATCGATCTTGCTTGCCCTCTCGGTTACTACAGCCAGCCCAGTCAACCCCAGTGCAACTACAGATGTTGAAACTAGCACTTCAACCGTCATTCCCAGTGCAACTACAAGTACTGAATATAGTCTTTGGATAGTTCCTAATCCAAACGGTATAGGCTTGGGTGCTCTTGATGCACTTCCAGATAACGTCAAGCATTTACTCGACAAATACGTAGAGTTACAGGATGCTCGTAATCAGCAAAGCAAAATATATTGGCCGTTAAAATCTCAATATGACAGTCAATATGACGTGGTACTGGGCGTGGAAAAAGATCTTGAAATTCTGAAATATCAATCTCAAAAAGGCAATGGCAATCCAAAATATGGTGACATTGAGAAGACTAAGCTTGATCTTGAAGACCAAAGATCCAAATTTGCCGAACTTCGAAAAGATCTTGATGAGTGCGAGTCCGAGATTGGTCATCTTGCAGAAAAAAAATGGGAGGCCGATAAACAGATTGTGAGTCTCGTTTTCGGAACCCCTCTGAATCCTGATTTATTTAATTACCAACTTTTGCTTATCAAAGAAACGCCTTCCGTTAAAGATTACCTTGAAGAACAATTATCAAAATACAAGGATCTTGGTCAGAATCATGGTGATCAACAACGTCAAGACTCGCAATCGTCATTGGATACACTATCTGAATCTGGATCCAATCGGAAGAGTACTTCCAATAAACGGAAAAGGGTTTCCAAGCTTGTGGATGAATTGAAATCATTCTTTAAACGACCCAAACATGACGATCCATCCAATTGATTTGAATGTCAATCTGGACTTGTTTCAACCGATTCAATTGCCATTATGGTTTAATTTACAATAAATTTGTATGTGCATGCATTATATCTGATTATTGTACACAGTCTTGATTGGCATGATATCATATTGTACATTGACACTTGTATTTCCAATACAATACAGTTGATTGTATATTGCATAGTTGTACACATTGATGATACTGACATGCATGTGTGTATTGTGTCGATATGATATTGCTTGTCATGTCGTATTGACACATGCAACACCAATACCAACAATAGTCATGTGTGTTGATATCAGATCCGACCAATTTGACTGGTTTGACTCGTTGATTGTGGTATCAAAATGGTTGCATCAATAGCTTGACTGATCACACACATCAGTCGCAGTATCAACTTTGTCGTGTGTCAAGTACCATATGTTGAATATACAATGCCAACAATATGGTCATTATGCACATGTTGATGTATGCAGTGATCGTATACTGGTCGATTGGTGTAATATGATCACACACCAATGGAATGTGATAATCATGATATTTGCAGCAGTATACTATATTAAACTGATCCAATACATGCACGGTTTGAACATATCACACACATTACAATAAATGGCATGATACATACATTGACTTCATCAATATTAAATCTCATTGTGTAGCATTTCTTGATATCACCACCCAATTCAACGGGTGATCATTTTGACAACCTATTGTTTGATTGACTGGCAATCCCAATTGGTGGATGTAATGCAAGTCGAACTGCAGCAACCACTTGTAACGCAAGTATAACGCATTCTAGAGTAATCAGCATTGTATCGAGTAGTGTGATGAAAATGGGTTGAATCTGGTACATGATTGCCGTTTTATAATGACGGCAGCTTCAAGGGTGACAATCAGCAATCTCCAAATGGGTATTTAGAAAAAGCCAAATACACCATGTAGGGCGAATCAATATACAAGCATCGTTGTTGGTGTATAATTAACCTCGGTAGTATGCTGTGTTGATCTCTCCAATTGCGGTCATGTATCCAGTGATCAGGTAGTGCCATTATGGATAATTATCATCGCATCTACAATCCATTAATACAGCATACACTGTCATTGTATGCCAAGTATTTGACTGATTGTTCAATTGGTCATGTTTTTTGACCAGCATCCATCTGTGCACTGTTTAGATTGGTCCCATTTGTCATTTATCAGTCAATTTGTATACAGGTCGGGTCATCCAACGACTTGCTATCATGCAAATTCAAATACAGTCTATGCAACAGTCGGTTGTTTTTGTGTATATCCAGATTGAACTACCAATAATGGTTATTTCAAAGTCACTCAATATCCTGCCAATTGTCATTGTGATTGTATTCCACATCCAATTCTAGATTGTAATCACAACCACAATTACCGTGCTTGATCAAATGGTGTTTTGCATTGATCATGGTATCATACATCACGATACTGCCAGATTACTGCACGCAAGTCATGACCAATACAAATGCATTACTGATTGACACTGATCGACACCATATATACAGTCAGACAGCACAACAAGTCACCAGCATGCCATTGATCGTGTTGCAATACAATTGACCAATATATCATGCTGTATGTTGTATCGAGTCACGACATACAATATTACTGAATAAACACAAGTCACAACTGCAAGTATTCATATGGTAATGAACTGACATTGGTGTTGATATCCAATTGATTGACTAATCGATCATCATCAATTGCATCAGTGATTGGTATATGCAACTGATATACACCATGTCCGAGTCTGATACATGTCGATATATGCGTGTCAATCAGCAATGCATATTTGTGGCCATTACAGTCGAATGTGAGTCGAGTCGATCACTAAACCAACGAATCAATGATTGCATTCTAAATATGGTGCGATTTGATGCGACATGACAATATATTGTCCAACAGGTTCAACATACACAACACCGATATCCAATACATCACACATGTATACACTGCATATACAAGCAGTAGCAATGACCGATCCAAACCAACAGTGACAGAGTTACACATCAACATATAGTCGATTATCAGTCGAGTCTGCATATATCAACTAGTTGCGACACGTCATAATCAATGTGGATTGTATTGCTCACCAATCGATCATGACAACTAATCAATACCAATCATGTAGTCGATACAATCACCAACATATCGATGATTGTTGACTAGCGGTTACAACTCGTCAATTGCATCCAATGTTACAGGTGATGCACATCTGATTACTGCAAATCAACAACTTGTCAATCATATCATAGTGTGCATTGCCAACAAACCAT